GCTGGACCAAGTGGCTGGGGAGAGGGAAGTCTGGGCCTCCCTACTTACCATACCATACCATACCATACCATACCATACCATACCATACCATACCATACCATACCATACCATACCATACCATACCATACCATATCATATCATATCATACCATACCATACCACACCATACCATACCATACCAATTTATTTATAGAGCACTTAAAACAGCAACAAGGCCAACCAAAGTGCTGTACAAAAGAAAACAAACATGCACAGCGGACAGGAAAACATAAAATAAAAATACAGATACAAATAGCAGCAGAAGCTAACTAAAATGGCCAACAGTGTAGAGTACAGACAGGACCAAACAAATCACACCGTGTTAAAGGCAAGAGAATAGAAGTGGGTCTTCAAGCGAGACTTAAAGACTGAGAGTGTGGGAGCCTGCCGGACACTCAGTGGCAACTCATTCCACAGTCGTGGACCTGCAACAGAGAAAGCCCTGTCACCTCTGAGCTTACGACGGGTTTCTGGGACTGAGAGAAGCATCTGGTCTGCTGACCTCAGAGAGTGCGGTGGGACATATGGCTGCAGAAGATCAGTGAGATAGGATGGGGCGGAACTGTTCAGTGATTTAAAAACATACATGAGAATTTTGAATTGGATCTGAAGGTGAATGGGTAGCCAGTGCAGGGAGGCCAAAACTGGCGTGATGTGCTCTCTATAGCCTGTACCAGTTAAAAATCGGGCTGCAGCATTTTGGACCAGTTGTAGACGAGCAATGGAGGACTGACTGATTCCAAACAGAAGTGAATTGCAGTAATCAAGCCTAGATGTTATGAAGGCGTGGATCACTGTCTCAAGGTTCTTTTTGGAGAGTATAGGCTTCAGCTTAGACAGCCGTCTCAGCTGAAAAAAACAGGATTTGACCATCATGTTTATGTGACTGTTGAGTTTTAAGGACGGGTCCATTATCACCCCCAGATTAGTGACCTTTTGTTTCTCTAGCGGGGCTAGAGAGAAAAGGTCAATGTCATAGTTCATGAGTGAGCCACTGGGATGGAACAGCATGACTTCAGACTTCTTCTCATTGAAGCTTAAGAAGTTTAAAGCCATCCAGTCCCGGATGTCAGCCAGGCAGTCAAGAAGAGGCTGAATAGAGCGTGTGCCTCTGTGCCTCAGGGGGAAGTAAATTTGGCAATCATTGGTGTAGAAATGAAAGGGTATGTTGTGTTTGCGGAAAATATCACCTAGTGGCAGCAGGTATAAAGAAAAGAGAAGGGGACCGAGGATGGACCCCTGCGGTACCCCCCACAGCTACTTAAGCTGACCCAACCCCGGATAAGCGGAAGAGAATGGATGGATGAATCTGAATATATTTCTACGGTGAAAATATTTGTAAATAAAGATAAATATTCTAAAAAGCGACATGTGATCTCTCTCTCTCCCTCTCTCTCTCTCTCTCTCTCTCTCTCTCTCTCTCTCTCTCTCTCTC